CGCTAAGGTTAGGGTTAGGGTTAGCGGGGAACATAGGACCTGGGGAACATAGGACGCGGGGAACATAGGTACGCTCCCCTCTAGCACATTGTCCAAAATATGACAGTGTTCCTTTAACTTCCCTCCAAAAAATACTTATTATTACTATTTCTAATAAATTAAACAATAAATCGCAACAGTTCATTCATCAGACGTTTCAGGACATTGTTAACCACTGACTGGCATGTCTTATTTGTTACATACTTTAGAGAATCACAATAGCATTCATCTCTTAAGATAGGGTTGAGTTAAAAAAATATGTCGCTTTGTGGATATGATATTTTCCTAATAAAATAAAAGGTATTGGATTAGTTTTCTTCGTTACATTCTAACTAACAGATCATGCCTTTTTAGCAAAGAAATTCCCAGCTGTATTTGAATGCAACATGACGTACCAGGCCGGTGTGAGGACGTGCGCGTGGCCATGCGCACTGAAACCCGCCCCTTTACAACAACCCCCAGCCTACTGAGCGCTACTGCTTTCGTTATTTTACTAGCGCTGCTGTAACATCTCAATTTGAGCTGGAAAAACACAGGCGGTAAAATCACACTGAGTCGACGTTTGGGGGCTTTTTTCTCCACCGCCTGCTCCGGCTTCTATCTGGTCGCTTCTCTCGTTAAGTTGCTACGAGGACACGGAGAGACTGAAGTGACATTTAACGTTACGTTAATTCATTCAACCACAACAACAATGGCAGCACAGGATTTTAATTTCTTGCTTGCGACGGATTCTTACAAGGTGAGTGGACCCGTCCTTGTTGCCTGTTTCTCTTATCCAGTTCTTTTCCCGATTAAATTCCAATACGTGCAGCTAAAAATCCAACTAACCTCAGTTACATACCATTGCACAACACAGATAACGTTAGCTGTTGTATATTTGGTCAGTTGAATGTTTTGGCTGCTACGACACTGTGTTCTGTGTAAAAGCTGGAAGTAAGGCACCAGCAGTAGTTGTATACAGTGTATTGTGTACATACTGTTGTTATCAGTGCTCCCTACAGTTAAACAGCAGGGCTTACAGTGTAGACTCCATTTAATCAAAGTTGAATCCATGAAACCGTAGCTGAGAAGATATGACTTGGCACGGAACGGGTTTTCACTGACTGCCAATGTAATGCCTGAGTTTCGTTATCACCAAACCAAAACTTAACTTCACATTTTACTTTACTGAGTTTAAACACAGTTTTATAAAGGTTGTGTTTTTTTATTTAACCAGATTGTCAAAGAAACATCTGTAATTTGATTCAAATCATGAAAAATCCTGGAAACAATTAAAATCCTGGAATTTTTTATTGTGTTTTTCCTTACTTACATCTCCAATTTTCCTGTAAAACAAGATACATTGTACTTGGTACTTGTACTAGGCCTACTGGTCAATGATCAATGATATGATCTTTGGGAATGCTGGAAAATAATTAGTTAAAACAAGGAGGAACCCATGCTACCTGGAATAGCTGGGACATTAGAGACACGTTTTCCAGTCATGAAAGCACCTGGAAATGGATTAAAATGACCAAATATCTGTGTTGTCCTGGAAAACTTTGATTGTATTTTAGCACTTCACTCAAATCGCCTACATAAAACCTGGGTGTGTATTTTGTTTGACACTTGACTGTTACCACATAGAGGGGGGAGGACTTGTAGCAACCTGTGGCGATCAGTCATCGATGTTACACTGCTACAGAGGAAAACTGTAGTAAACTGGAGTCAGTTCGCCGGACTACACACTGCTCGTGATTCCACCAGCAGCGCTGTCCGCCCTGCTGTCCACGTCTCCATTGGACTATTTAAGGGCCTTTACACTTTGGGGCTGTTGAGATTTACCACACAGAGGCCTGTGGGAGTGCTGTGGCTATGAGCACAGTATTAGTAGATTCACTATGATCAAAATGCTTTATCCTTGGCAGGCAATTATTCCAGTTGATCCTTTGTGTGGGAAAGAACAGTAAGGTAAGAGTGTATCTAGGGGTACTAAGTGAAAGGTAATGACTTAGTTCTTCACAGATAGTCAGCAGTCACTATTCATTTGTTAATTTTGTTGCTTTTTGATGAACAAAATTCTGAAGTGCAAGTCATGGTGATTCATTAGCTTGTAATGCACAGCCTGTAACGCGAAAAACAGTTCTTTGTCCACAGTGCAGTGTGGCTGTGTGTCACAGAGCCCAACCTTTCGCTGCCTTTTAAGCTTTCACTTTCATTTCAGTCCATTCGCAACCTAAATCCAGGAGCGAGTGAGTCAGACCACTGGCTGGGCAGGCGGTGCAGGTATATGCAGTAACATGTGCTCAGCTCAGTGCAGTTAAATGTCAGATGTCATTCAAAGGTTTGCTCTGCAGCCAAATGGCAAAGATCACCAACCAGGCTTTTTATTAGCTCCAGCGGGCCCTGAAAACAAGTCCAGAGCAGCAGCACGGCCAAGAGGAGTCCTCCAATGTGTCTGTCATCACTATCACATAATAGAAACTGATGTGGCACACAGTGATGAGCTCATCAGAGTCCGCTGGGGTTAGTGGATTTACAGCACAGCAGTTTACATTTACTGAAAGACTGTCTTAACATAACGTACTCACAGTTAGCCTCATGTAAGCATCATTGTAACTTTTCCTTTTTGCTTCATTCAGGTTTTTGACCAGTTGATGATAATAATAATAATAATCATTCATTTTGAATTCTTCTGCAAAAAAGAAGTGCTTTGTTTTATGAAAGCCAAATTAAATGAAGTTATTTTTGAATCTGAATAGTTTTGAATTTGAAATGTTCAAACTGAATATTGTATGCAGAATTTGAAATTGTATTTCACAGCTTGAACTTGAATTTAAAGCTTTTATTAAAATAACTTTATTTTCAACAATCAACTACCTTTCTTGTCTCTGATTGGTTGTTTTCATTCAGGCCTGGTGGATTCTGGAAAATGTCCTTAGGAGCACTAGGAGGAGCCAGAGGAACCTGATTGTTTCACAGAGTATCATTCTCCTGTACTACTGTCAGGATACAGTGAAAGTTTGAGAAAATAAGACTGAAAGTTACCAACTGCACCTTTAACATGTATTGCTTTCAACTTGTCAGTATTATTTCAGTTTCTGTGGAGTTCCAAATTCAGTTTTCAAATTACTATTTAGATTGTCGGTTATATATTATCTGTATCGGCCATGAGAATCAGAACCAGAATCAGAAATGGCAGGTAATTGTCAGTTATCATAATGGCTGGAAAAACTCCATATCATGCATTCCTAATATTGGGCATTCAAACTGAAAGCAGAGCAGCTTCCAGCAGAAATCTATCATTATAACTTGAGTTATTACGTTTCTGCTTTAGTTTGAGCTTCTTTCTAACTCTTTGGGTTAGGGTGTTCCTGTAGCTTGTGAATATGTGTACAGTTGGTTTGACCTTCTCTCTCACTGTTTCTCTCTGGATCTCTGGATTAGTATAGTGTATATGTAAATAGGTGTAGTTTGTTTCTGCCATTAGTAGTTAGAGCGTGTAAATATTTGAATAGTCTGTTTGATCTTCTCCCTTTTTTTTTATTGTTGTGTTTTTTGACTTTTAACACTTACAAAAAAGTCCCTGTAGGGAGGTTGTAATAATTTGCCATCATAATGATGATAATACCATAATAATAATAATAATAATAATACCAATAATAACAAAACTTTCTTTAACAGAACTTTTAAAACAAAGTTACAAAGTGCCTTACATGGCCAGAACCAGGATTTAAAACAAAATAAAATTGGAGAATTAAAATCATATAGAAGTGTTGTAGAATAAAAAGAATGAAAGACCCCCATCAACAATAAAACAGATAAAACATATTGCAAAGTTAGCCGCACTGGGGCAAATCATTTTAAACAATTAAAAAGATATCAAATTAAAAGCATAAAATATAAGCAAATATTTGATTAAATTAATTATTGATTAAAACAGAAAACCAATGAATTGAGGAAATGTTACACATTAAGTTATTTCTTACTTAGGGTGTTGGCTAGCGCTGCTCACTGTGAGTGGCAGCCTGCCAGCCTTCCATGATTGAGCAGTGAAGCCTTTCATTAACTCATCTAGAAACGTTTATTTAAATGAACACAGTATTTCAGTCACACCTACAGTGCATGTTCCTATTGGGGCTTTAAAGGGAACTGCATCCAGAGGGATAAAGTGGAGCTCTGCATCACTGTGTGTGCTCACGTCAACTAGTTTACCCAACAGACATTGTTCATTCACACAAATGAACAGCACTGCCATCTAGGGTTATCATGACACCAGAAAACAACCAGTATATCCTCTGTACTTCAACACACACTCCTTTTATCAAAAACATTTGCAACAACAAGAGTGGCATGTAGCCTGATAAATAAAAAGTAACTACCCACACACTCTTTTTTGCTGCCTGTTTAGTTGTCATATAGACTCTCTGCCAGTCACTATCAGCCTACATGAGTCTTATTGGGCTCGTTTGAGATGAGCCGGCCATCGCCCCGCAATGCATGTTGGTTTGATTTGTGTCCGATTTAATGCCGATTCTGACGTCACACACAAGCAGTGATAACCTCACAAGATCGAGGCGGCTGCAGTTTTTAGAACCAGGCGCTGCAGTTGCTCTCAACCAACTGCAAGAGCCAGGGCATGGTGGGAAACGCCTGGCTGTCCCCTAATCAAACAGCTGATTGGCTCTTAGTTTTCACAGCAAACACTACGTTTTCCTTATTATGCGAATTTAATATTTAACTCTTGTTTCATGTCTCTTGTTGTGCAGTTGATGATGGCAACAAAGTTGATCTGAACGTGGTCTGCAAACTACAGATGATCTAACAGGATGCAAACATTTCTGTGACTTCCTGTATATCTTAGAAGGCTTGACTGCTGCTTTTTGTCACCACCTCCTGCTGCTGCCGCCTCGTGTTTTAATTCATCATTCTTTGTCATCTGTGACATGAAAACATCAGATTTCCACACAGTCTGTGCATCCCGCTCATAGTTGAGTTTTATAACCCTAGTCGATTTTGAGACTGTTCGTACATCAACAGGCATCATTATGGATGAGTCCTCGTCGTGCATGCTCTGCAGGTGCAACCCAAAGAACTGAGCACACTGAGAAGTTGTTTGGAGTTCGTATGTAAAAGAAACACAACACGTTTTTCTTTTGGATAAGCTGAAGCAGAGCTGTCGCTGCGGCTGCACTGGTTGCCATCTTCAACATGTTGTTCCGTGCTGGTAGGCCTCCGATGGTGTCAGTCGCTGTTTTCTGTCCCGTAGCACTGGCCTAGGGACTACATGTGACTTGGCTGTGTGTTTTGGTTTCTGCTTAAATCTTTTGTTGCACAACTTGTGTAATAATTAACGACTATATCCAGTATGCACCCACAGCACAGTCTGAGGACACTGTGAGCTTTAGGATTCTGGCGACTTCCCCGAGGTCTGATATATCTTAATACTTTACTGCACCCTGGATTTCAATGCAATTCAATTCAATTTCAAATTTTAATTTGGTAATAGCGCCAATTTTCAAACAGAGTTTTATTCAGGGAACCACTTTTTTTTCATAGAGCAGGTTTTCTAGACGAACTCCTTATTAACTTTTTACAGAGACCCCAACAGTAAAACACCAAATGAGCAGAACCTTGGCGAGGGCAAAGGAAAAAACTGCCCTTTTTTAACAGGCCAGAAAACCTGGACAGACCCTTCGGGCTCTAGGTTGGGGTTGGGGTCATCTGTTCTTCGACCAGTTTGGTGAGAGAGAGAGAAGTCACTGTTTTTACAGCAACTGCAAGGGTTCCGCCAAAGCTTGCTTGCAATCTTCAAGGTCTTTATTTTTCTTTGGGATGAGTGATATTGACGCTTGAGTTAAGGACAGAGGAACGGTGCTCAAAGGAGTCATTAAACATATCCAATAACAGTGGAGCGAGTTGATCAGAACATTTCTGATAAAATTCGGATGGAAAGCCGTCTGGGCCTGGTGCCTTGCCACTTTGCATTAATTTAAGGCTGGCTTTCACCTCTTCCAACCTGAGAGGATCATCTAGATTATTTTTGGAATTAGTATCAACTGATGGGAAGACTAAATTATCTAAGAATTTGTTCATTGAGGTAGTATCTGAAGAGGCTTCTGACTTATATAGATCAGAATAATATGAACAGATTTTACGAGAAAGCGTGAAATTCTGTCAGAGATAAATTCACAAAATTTGTCGGATGATAATAGCCCAGTGTTTAATCTCCAGATTGAGTGGTAATTGGTTTTAGGGACTAGTTCCAAATCTAATAAAAAGGGGACATGGTCTGAAATAACTATCGATGAGTATTCACATTGTTTCACTGAGGGTAATAAAATCTTATCAAGAAAAAAGTAATCTATTCGAGAGTATGTTTGATGAACCTGGGAATAAAATGAAAACTCTTTTGCTGTTGGTTGGTAAAAACGCCACATGTCCACATTGCCAATTTGATCTGTGAATACAGGCAAACATTTAGCTGCTTTGGATTGAGTTAATTTTCTTGAACACGATCTGTCAAGTGTGGGATTGACAGAAAGTAGTCCCAAACAGTCAACTCTATGTCAGCACTAGCCTTGCGTGATTCAAGGTGATTGAGGGCATGTTTCAACGAACAACCACAACTAATCATAACTTTGTTAAGAATGTCAATATTAACACCAGCATTGATGTGTTTCATAACAGTATAGTTATATAATTTAGTTTAGTAACAGCTCAAAAAACAGGATGGAGTGTGTCTTGAAGTTCAGAATGTCCCATCACCATGTTTTTTACATCCTTGGAACACTGTGAGCATACAGACAAAACCTTGTTTCCATAAAAACTGAAAGAACCTGTATATTTGCAATGGTAGTGTTAGAGTAACCTAACATATTTTGCGTATAACAGTGTGTGACATATCCAAGTAGGACATGTCTTGATTATGCTGTCCACCTGTAAATTCAATTCAATTGATTTGTATAGCACCAATTCATAACCAAAGTTATCTCAGGAGCCTTTTCAAATAGAGCAGGTCTACCCCATACTAAAATTAAATAAAGTAAAATACTCTTCTTAGTTATTACTAAAACTCTTAGTTACTCTTACTAATACTCTATTGAAGTTAGAGAACGGGGAAAGGAGAGGGAACTTTAAACAGAAGGCAGGATGAGGCAGAAGAATTTAGAGTGAATGCCTCTTGAAGCTATTTCTTCAAGTGACTGACTGGCTGTTGCTGTTTATTATTTAATTAGTGCTGCAGGAGCACAAAGAGAGACTTGTGCTTTAAGCTGTCATCATACCTTCCCACGTGGGTCCAGGAAACATGTTTACTGTACACGTAGGCATCACGTTGAGCAGACAATCCTCCGGGTTACAGCTTATCATTAGTGTGTTAACTGAGGGGTTATTTTATGCTATTTGACAATGCAAATTAGGGTTGCAGTTAACAATTATTTTCATTATGGATTAGTCTCCATTAATTGATTTGCTGTTTGGTCCATAAAATGTCAGAAAATGTTGTTCCCCAAAGCCTGAGGTGTCATCCTCAGATGTCTTGTTTTATCCACAATTCAAAGATATTCAGTCTATGTCACAGAGTACTAAAGAAAGCAGAAAATATATAAAACATTTGAGAAGCTGAAATCTGAGAATTTGGATGTTTTCTTTCTTAAAAAATGACTCAAAATAATGAAGTTTGTTCGATTAGTGTTAACAGTGTGTACCATCTGGGCTCAGGTCACTTGAAAATGTGGTCTTGAGTACAGTTCATGCTTACTTGGTTGCTTACCAGAGTTTCTCCCTCGCAGTTGGAAAGGAAGGGTGATAAATTGTAATCTGCAACTACACCACTAGATGCCGCTAAATTCTACACACTGGACCTTTTTAATCTTTTGAACTTTTCAGGACCTGCTAGCGGCTTATGCTTGAGTTCTGTATATAACTTTCTTTCAGATCACACACTACAAACAGTATCCTCCAAATGTCAGCAAAATCTACTCCTACTTTGAATGCCGACGGAAGAAAGGTTCCCAATTCAGTGAAGTGGTGTTCTTCGGTCTTCAGTACCTGCTGAAGAAATACCTCACAGGTACATTCACATCCTTGTCTCCTCTAATCTGAGAAATGCATTGCCAGAAACATATAGGAAGAAAAGAGAAAATAATTGTGTGCTTATGGGCAATTTGATGTTACAGGGACAGTTCACCCCAAAATCACCATACCTGACTGCTATTAGGACTGCACGATTATTATGCTCAATATTGAGATCACACTAATTTATCACAGTTATTCAATGATTTTAGGGAAAAAATCATTTTATTACACTATTTTTATTCCCAAATTCCCAAATTACCGTTAGCTTGTTTTGTGGACACAACAATAGTGGCTAGTGTCAACCTAACTAACACACACTTTGCACCTCCTGGGGTCCTTTCTATGAGCTAAGCACACATTTTAAAAGAGTATAGATCATGTTAATTGTGTGGAACCAAATTTGCAATTAATAAGTGCTTTTTTCCATCTAGATGAAATGAAAGATGTAAAAAACACAACAACAGAAATCATGATCTGGTTCCTCAAGATTGTTTTGAGCACCTTGGTGTAGGAACTATTTTCTTTCTAAGTATCACCGCCCAGAAGGAAGCGTGCATCCACTCGTCGACGAGAGTCCCGTGCTCGGGACAGTGCAGGATGTAAACATCCGTCCTCCTCGGCTGAGCTGGAGCGTTAGCTAGCTCACCTAGCACCTCTGGGATAGCTAATGTTCAGCTATGGTTGGCGGGTGTAGTTCGGTAGAGAGTATGAAACCGCTCACAACAAGGTCTGTAGATTATCTCGAGTAACTGGGTCATGATTTTGGAAAGAAACATTGCTGTTGAGTTTTTCAGTTGTATTTATTTTCCGCTGTGAGCACCACTAGTTGATCTGGTTCCATTATATTAGAGAGAAGGCTGACATCTCTACGGCCAATATCTCCAAAGCTCAACAACTCACACCAAAACTATCTAGATAGATAAAAAGCACTACAGAAAAAAAGCATCTTTGATTCTGGTGTGAGCTGTCTCTAAATATTGTTGAATGCCTTGAAATAAAACATCACACACAACAGCATTATTTTATGCACACAGGGAAATAGCCCATGCACAATTATAATAGCCCAATGACTGAATAAAAACATACAGTATAAGTAAAAACATCAGGCACAAAAAAATCTTATAAGGCAATGCAGCAAATGTTTCCTCATTCAGTTGCAGCCAGTTGCACACTACTTTGGAGAGTTCACACCTGAAAAGTGTGAGCTAAAATGGTTTCCAACACCAAGTGGTAACAAAACAGAACTACACTCATAAACTTTAATGTAAGCTGACTATTGATGACAATTGGATAGAAGCACAGGCTAAGCCGTTTTCTGGGTGCTGAGTCAGTCCTTTGTATTTTCTGGATGGGACTGAGGTGGCTGTAACTTGTTGTGGTGTGTTCTCTAAAGGCCCAGTGATCACAGAGGAGAAGATTCAGGAAGCCAAGCTCTTCTACCAGATGCACTTCAAACAGGCTGTGTTCGATGAGGAAGGCTGGAGGAAAGTCCTTGAGGTATACAAGAGAGATTTTCATCAGTCAGTCTGTCTTGACGGATTCACAGAGAGAAGCATTTATCAGCATTTATCTAACCTGAAATAAACGTGCTTGTTACTTTGTCAGAAACATGATGGCCGTCTTCCTATCCGGATCAAAGCTGTCCCTGAGGGTAGGATCATACCGAGAGGCAACGTGCTCTTCACTGTGGAAAACACAGATCCCAGCTTCTACTGGCTCACCAACTACATTGAGGTAACCCCAGAAATGTGTTAGTGTTAGACTTTTGAAATAATAAAAGGATTGAATTAGCAGATTAACTCAGGAATTTATCCTGCGTTTCAACTGGAGGAACTAGGATCTAAATACGATTCTAGTTTCAGGTGGAAAAAAAGTCCCTGTTTTGGAGGTAGGGCTTTCCAAAGGTTTGGGAACCATGAGGGTGGACTTTGCAGAGTTAACCGTTACTGATTGATCATACACAGACGTGAGACAACCAGAGGTTGAATTAAACTATTTTGCTGTCCGTCATTTTGACAGACAGGTTAGTTATAATTCTTATTACTCATCATTTCAGTTTATTAATGATATGTGACAACATATAGCCCATTTAATATCAGTAAATGTAGCTCGCAAGTTGGAACAGAAAATATCACAGGTTCGAGCAGGCTGGTGACGCAGCATCCATGTAAGTTATAACTTACAGAAACATTGCGTGACATGCAGAGTTGTGCTGTGCATCAACAAGTGCATCCAGCGATCAGCCCAGCTGGTCCATTGCTGCTTAAAGCACATTGAAATCTTGAAACTGTGGATTCTATTCTTTAGCCCTCTTGGAGAGCGTACAGTAGATCGCCTTCAGTGTTCATCTGTCAAAATGATGGACGGCCTTAAGATTGTCCCGTCAACTATTTAGTCAACTATGATGATGAAAATATTTGGTTAAAGCGACACAGCTTGACACATAAAACAAGGGTTCCATGGGGTGTCCTGAAAGCCCCCCTGGTGGAGCTGGTGTCCCACGTGCCAGGGCTGGGCCCTTGCTGCAGTGGCCATGGGTTGGACTCCAACCTGTGACCCTTTGCTGTGTGTTATCCCCTCTCTCTCTCCCCACTTCCCTGCCACTCTTCAGCTGTCACTATCAATGAAAGGCAATAAAAGGCCAAAAATTATTATTTTTTAAAGGAACGGTGCCACTAGTATAACAGTGAGGAAGATGCAACGGGGACAGACATTTGTAGATGTTTACTACATTAAAAACAAAGTTCTGTTTCCAGCCAGTGGTTAACACTGGTTTAAAAGAGAGCAAGGTAAAGAAAGAGTGCAACTGAGCTTATAGCATGAGCAAACGAGAGCAGCAATGAGAGAATAATTCCACTGGAGAAGAGAAACAAACTTGCTGATTGTTTCACTGCAGTTTCATTGTAAAGCAGACGTAAATAACCATCAAACACTTAGCACATCATCTGCTCTGGAGTCTGCTTTTCCCCCTCTGCATGTCTCCTTTGTACCCAGTCATTACATCCACTCAAACATCAGAGTCACACAGCAGTACCCAAAAGACAACAGGGTTGTTGTTGTTTTCCGGTACCATTGGTCAAATTTACCTAATCTTTAGAGTTCTCCTGATGCGGCAGAAATGCAAACAGAAATGCTCTAAAACTACTTTTTCGTTTCCAATTTAGTGTCTGTGATTCCAGAGTTTCTGGAACCGGCTATAAATGGCTATAAGGTTCTGTGAATTCTGGATGACCAGATTGGAAGAAACATGAAAATGCATTGTACCTCAGGGGGGGTGAATTACACAGCAGCCGCAATAATTTACTCACTCAAAGAAATAGGGACTCGTGCATTTGGAAGAGTCTGAACAGAGTTTTTATGGCAGTGGCAGTCTATCCCTGCATCCTCCCAGCTACTCCTCCAAACTTACTCTTTCAGGTGACCTCAACTTTGCAGCACTGTCCTTCAACAACTGTCCTTGTCCCCCTTTTTCCCACCAAATGATCTCTTACTATCTGATCTCTTTTCTCCCCACACCCATCCTATTTTTAACCATCACCCCTGCCCCTTCTACTGGCTGCAGACCATGCTAGTCCAGATGTGGTATCCCATCACGGTAGCTACCATATCCAGGGAGTTTAAGAAGATCCTGGCCAAGCACCTGAAGGCCACCTCAGGGAGCCTGGAAGGCCTGGACCTAAAACTGCATGACTTTGGCTACAGAGGAGTCTCCTCACAGGAGGTAAGAGGACATTTCTGTCCTTTTTAGTGTGAAATCTACTTTGTGCATATGGCTATGTCATGTGGATGTTATCAAACTATTGTATATCATACTGGTCACATCACTGATAACAGACAGGTTGGATTAAGAGAACTCTGTGAAAGTCAGAGGAAAAGTCTTATATAATAAACATAAAGCTGGAATGTAAATTCAATCTCTTGGGCCACTGGTGAAAATGTTTGACTGTAAGAAGATTCAAAAGGACCATTCTCACAGTTCTCACTTACCATTGAAGGCAGACTAGTGTCAATGCAGTGATAATCTAATGTCTGTGTGTGTCTGTATAGTAGAGCTGTTCAGAAGTCCAGATTAAATGAAACATTTCTGAAAAACCTTTTTTAACCCTTTAAGATCACATCCCCAGTCACATTGTACACCTATTTAACAACATATTATAACATACAAAAAATTTATTTCTATGTATTGTTATATCGAAATCCAATCATGTGCATCGGCGTATGAGTGTGTATGAATGATTAGTTTCCATTCTGGTGAGCAGTTGGCATCTTGCATGGCAGCCACTGCCGTCAGTGTATGAATGTGTGTGAATGGAGTGAATGTGGCATGTAGTGTACAGCGCATTGAGTGGTCGAAAGACTAGAAAGGCACTATATAAGTACAGTCCATTTACCATTAAAAAGCAGCTAACGGTAATGTTAGCTGCTGTTAGCTAGTTAGCTTGTGTAGCTAACATTAGCTGACTCAGCCAAACCCAGCATAAAAACCACGCCTCGGTTCTGTATTGAGTCGTCAAACTGTCCTTCGTTGGCATCGCATGCTTTATTTGGTCCCAGTCTGGCCGTGCTGTTCACTGGGAGCTCCCAGTCTGGCAGAGTCAGTTAATAGGAACGCTACAGTTTCTTGGCGGTGGATGTGACATACATTCAGAATTGTTGGCTACCATGACAAGTCCCTCCCTGGCTCCCTGTTTTTTACAGGAAATACATAAATATGCAGAAGCAAACAGCACTCTGCTTTCTGTTTAACTCTAGCTCTTGTGGCTATCAGAGGGAACCAAATGTTTCAGTCATTCATAAGAATTGTTAAGAAAATGTTGTGACAAATATTGAAAATCCAGAATAACTAAATGGAAGATGGCTCAGGTGGTAGAGTGGGTCGTCCACTAATAAGAAGGTTGGCCGTTGGCGGTTGCCGCTGCATGTTTAAGTGTCATTCAGCAATATAATGAACCCTGAATTACTCCTGATGCTGTGCAACGGTGTGTGAATGAATTAGTTTCTGTTTGTGTGATTTGTCATCAGTGTGTGAATGTCTGAATGTGACATGCAGTGTAAAGCGCT